TATACATATAATAATTATGCTTGACGTCTGCTTTTAAATTTAGCATGGAGACATGCCAAATGAACCAAAAAGCTGAGACTATATGGCCAAAAAATTCCATATGTTTCCTCAGGAACTGCATTGAATCATAACGTCAGTTTTCTTTGCACGTCTCTAAAATCTGAGTCCCACTAAAACTGATCTCACAATTCAGAAGAGAATAAAATTATGGGACTCTTACCAAACTGGCCAAATATTAGCACTGTATGCAGCCAGAACCATTCAATTTAACCTGCCAATCTTTGTTGGCTCCATCACCATTCAAGTGCATTGACCATGGACTGCAGATAAGGCTTGGCTTTCAGCCAAGTAAGAATTTGAGTCTAGGGAAGGTCATATGACTACAGCAAGATCCTCTGCACATGGAACTTACTAGCTTAGATGCCTAGAGACAAGTATGAACAATTTCTTTTCTTTTCCTTTTCCTTCCATTCCATTATTCTTTTATTACCCATTTTTTCCTCTTTCAGCCTTTTTTGTTTCCCATCTTCTTGGTAAAATAAAAAAACATATCCGAGTGCTGGCTCTGTAGTACAGAGGTTAGATACTGAGCAGAGGAAGCCAGATCCCACATGGCCAACCAGGGTTCAAATCTTAGCCCTGACAGCTTGAAAAATGTGCCAGACACACACACATGAGTCCAAGATCCTGATAGGATGGAGAACTGGAGGAAAAAATAATTGTGATGGGAATAGAGCCCATTGGGATGTGCTTTTTTTCCCTCTTTTTCTCTATCTTGCACATACATCCACCCTTCGGGGAAGAAAAATTGCATGCTTGAAGCAAAAAGATCTGGAAAAGAAAGTTAAGTATTCATATTACATCTATAATTCCAAACACTGATATTTTCATGCATGGTGTTTAAGTCCATTGATTGGGAAAATGAGAAAATGAGGTTATCTGGGGAAAACTCAGGATCTTGGATTTGACATCATCAATCAGAACTCCTCTATGTATTTCCAGCATGAGAAAGGGTATCAGTGTGGACTCTTGAGTTCATGGTAAAATTATTTTAATAAATATGATCTTGAAAATAAACTGCATCAGGATACTTTGAGATTGAAATCATGCTAAGAGAGATATGAAGTTCATGGGCATGGTAAGCAAGTCATAGGAAAGCCTCTTGAGGCTCTGAAGACCTTATTACTTGTTTTAGAATCCTACCTCTATGGTTTTAGAGTAGTCAGGTGGGTTATTCAGCCCTCTTCTATAAAATGAAAACAAAAATCTCTTTTCCATAGAAAAATTGCAAGCATCTCGTGGGATGGACCTATAGAGACCTTAGCACATAGTGTGTCCTCAGCATGAGTTAGTCATGTACAATGGCCTTCAATATGGTGTCATGGCAACCAGAACTAAAGAAGACTCAGGAAAGTCAGGTTCTCTGCTCTGAATCATCCACATTTTCTGCTGGCAACTTCATGCAGGGTTATTTATGGAACTCAGACTGACACCAGGCACAGCCTGCCCACTGTCCCAGACTTGGGAAGCCGAGGCAGTGGCAGCCTGGGGTGCAAAGACATCTCCATGAGCTGCCTTATCCTGGTCATCCATTCCTCACCCCAGCATGTTTGTCCAAGTGGAAATCTTGTGTCTGGAGGTGTCTGGACACCAAAGGAGCAGGAGGAACAAAGGACACAGAGGGACAACCCAGTCTGGGGAGAGGGTAGTGTGGAAACAGAAAATGACTCCACTTCTATTACCCTAGTGATGACAGCAGAAAGGAGAATGAAACCAGCCAGCTGGTTCCTAAGCCTCCCCAGACCAGAGCCCTCCGGGAAGTCAGCTTAGGAAGTTAGGCCAGGATTCATTTGTTCAATTGTTAGAAAGATAAAGATCCAAGGATGAAGAACCCAAAGGGTTCCAGGTGCTTCAGGAGAGGGGACAGTAAGTGGCACATTCTCTGCAGGGAGAGATTCAGATAAATATATTTCTTCTTCTGTTGACTGTTTTCAGTAGAAAGGAAAAACACACACGCCCTCTCCTCCATAATAAGAGGTTTAGTCTGTGCCTCTCTCTGACTTCCTCACAAACAACCACAGGGAGCAGACTCCTCAGATTACTCTTGACCTTGGGAGTTGACCCTTGAAATATGTTCTGCTTCAAGATCTGAGAAAACAAAAGGAAAACGAATACATGTGAAAGATGATTTATTTCTACTGGGGGCCCTGTTTCTCCTCTCTAACCCAGTGCGCTTCAGAAGTTGAGACTATTATGAACATGCACATACACAAACACACAAACCAGATCATCCTTCTTCTAATTAAACCCTTCATAATTTCTCCTTGTTCCTAGATTAAAATCTAAACAACAACCTGGACAATAGGTCTCCCAAGATCCAGTCTTTGTCTGCTCCTCAGACCTCATTCCATGTCACTCTTCGGCTGTTCTTTAGGGCCAAATAGTGGCTTTGACCTTCTTCCTGCCAGGCATGTTCCCACTTGGGGTTTAGGCATCAGCCATTCTCTGTGTTTAAAGTGCTCTTCTCCTTGATTTTATCCCACTTAAATGTCACTTTCTCAGGGAGGACTTCCTGAACCATCCAATTGGAAGTACCCACTTCATCACTCATCAGCACATACAACTTTTTGTCATTTTTCTTTGACACTTGCTTAATGATTGCTGTTTGCCACTCCAACAGGACATAAGTACTAAGATTATAGGACCTTATCTGTTGTCTTTACCACTACCCATGGAATCTAGAGTACTGCCTAGTATATAGCACATATTGTAGACAGGAGGAATAACACTTTTTCTTAGAGATTTTTGCTATAGGGCATATCCACTCACCAGAGAGACAGAGAGAAACAGAAAATAAGAAATAATCCCCCAGGGGGGTGACCACAGCGCAGTCCCTTCTCCTCCATTCTCCTCTTGGAATTTTGAGCATGCATACACATGTGCCTGGTTTGAGTTTCAAGCCACCAGGACAGGGACTCGAACCATGGTCAGTCATGTGAGAGTCCAATGCCTTAACCACCTGCTGGCCCCAAGAATGAATTTTGTTTTTTGGGGGGAAAGGTTTTTGCTATAGGGCACATGCACTTGCCAGAAAGACAAAGAGACAGTCTCCCTTCCACACCATTGCTGCAGCATAAGGATAGTCTAGCCTTCATCATCAGACTCTGGGGCTCCCACTCAACCATTGCTCTGTTCTCTTTGAAACCTCTGTATCTTCCAAGTCTCCTTTACCCCACCTTCACAGCAGGCAGTCTAATGGCTCAGCTCTGCCAATATCCTCAAGCCATTAACTTTCTCTTCATTTGAATTCCTGCACAGATTTTTGGCATCATAACTAAGAACACAGGGCTGTGGTCACACCAGTGACCAGGGTTTGGGATATTTTGTATGTGTGTGAAGATTAAATGGGTTCACCACAATACCCAGCATGTTGTAAGTGATCAATAAGTGTGAGCCCATCTTATTACTATCACTATTATAATTAACATGTCTTCATTGCCTTGTCTTTTACCCTTTCGTATCTCCCTCCCTCTGTACTCTCATTTGGTTAGTTTTACTCTCCTCAGTCCATTTTATGAGGTGTAGATGGGATGGTGATATAGAATTCTGAGCATTTTCCAATCTTCCTATAAACCTTGCATACCGAGCAGCCCATGGGCTTAGGACTCTGGCTGTCTGGTGTCCTCAGTGGGCTTCTAAAACTGCTATGGGGACAGAAGCTCCATGAGCAGGGCTGGCTAGGGTGATGCACATCTGTGTTTTGACTTATTGGATGCTCGAGAAGCCAATTTCTGCCCTTTGGAGTCATTAACTCAGGTTTACTATAATCCTTCACATTTTTAGTTTTTCTTCTTGTTCAAGGTCTCAGACATCCAGAGAGACAATCCTTGGAAATGATATGTGAGAAATTCCTGGCCTGGTTTCCTGTAAGGAAGAAGGGTAAGGTGAGCACAAACAGAAGAAGTTGCCGAGGCCTTCAGGCTGTGGTTCTATGACCCTGGCAAACTGCAACTGTGAGACCCTTTCTTTGCGTCTCCTCAGGTATGTCTCAGTTAACAATTGTGGGAATTTTTGTTTTTAGTTTCAGAAAGTCCAAATTTATTTTATGATGCTTAGTATCTATCACATACCAGATTCTCAAATATTTGCAAAAATAATTTATGAATGAATAAACAAAAGAACTCAGAAATAGATATGACTAGGGAACTTGCTACTGTAAGAGACTGACAAGTCTGGAGTAACCAGAGAGACTTTCTAGAATCAACCAGCTATTTCTACAAATGGTCTAAGCATATACTATGTGTCGGGTACTATCCTAGATGCTAGGGATATGAGAGGGACAAGGCAGGCCCCTGCTCTCATAGAGCCGAAAGTCTAGCAGATGACCAGGCAAGGATGATCTGGTATGGCCGGTGCTTCTGCCACAAGGACAAGTGCAGAGTGCTCTCTCTGGAAGCAAGTGGAAGAGGATACCTAACCCAGGCCTGGAGTACCAGGCTGGGGCAGAGTTTCCTGGAGGACAACATGATGCCCCAGTTGAGGCTCAAAGGATGAATGAGTAGTGGCAGAAGGGGAAGTGAAGTTCAAGAAAAGCATGTCGGGAGTAGCCAAGACCATATGCAAAGGATAAAAGATGAGAGAGTGCATGGTGCTTTGCAGAAACTGGGGAGCAAAAGCCTGCTATGGCTTTGCTGCCAGAGGTTCTGATTTCATTGATCTTGGATAGAGCCCAGTCTTGGGTATGTTTTAAAAGCTTCCCAGGTGACTCTAATGTCAGCCAAGGTTGACTGACTGCACACCCTACCCTTCTTTCTTACATGGACCAGACATGGATAAACGAGATGGAGTAGTGAGAGGTGAGGCGAGAAGTAAGCCCAACACATCCTCCAGGACCTGGAAGACCATGTCAAGGAGCTTGAGTTTTCTTCTGGGAGTACTGGGAAGCTGTGCGAACATTTAAGCAAAGGAGCAAGTGGCATGATCAGACTTGCGGACTTCAGCACATCCCTATTGTGGAACGTGGATTAGAGGGGGCAGGAATAAAAGTAAGAAAACCAGTTGGGAGGCTCTTGCAATAATTCAGGCTTAAGATAATCACAGACCAAATTAGGCTAGTGGAAGCAGGAA